CACTCCTCCCCAACCGGCAAACCAGGGCCCCCGCCCGACCAGAGCTCGAACCTTTAGAGATGCGGTTACCGGCACATCCACTGCCAAACTGAGTATCCAGAGACTGATGTTGGAGCCCTTTCGGGACAAACAGAGCAGGACTGTACTACGCTCCGAGGAGGGCAGGCTCAAGGTAAGTTTCCCTGAGCCCACTGTTACTTCCCTAGCTGGGGCGTTTGACAATGCACTTATATTGAAATTTTCCTTCACTGTCCCCTCCCTCCGGATTTATCTGTCGGTTTGGACAAATTGGGTTTCAAGGGTAGAGTATCTCCTAAGTTCCTTAACTATAACCATTATTTACTCTTTTTTGAGTTGAAAGAGGACTACAATTCTGTTTGGGTTAGGACGCATCTCAATATCTTTAGGTGTTCTGGTCGAGTGTTCAAATACACCCCAGATTTCTCTTTTGTTGAGGAATCACCTATCGTCCCGGTGTGATGCTATCTACCGGGCCTTCTACCACATCTCTTCGACCCTTCTGCACTTTTCTCGATTGTCAGCTGCATTGGCAATCCAATTGGGACTGATGCTGCTACAGCGAACTGCTCGAGATTATCTGTCGCACGGGTGTGCGTGGAGATTGATCTCAGGGACGAGCTTATCAAGGAGATTGAGCTTGACCAAGCGGGCAAGACCATTGTCCAGAAAGTGATCTATGAGAGAGTTCCCCCATTTTGCACCCTATGCAGTCATGTAGGACATGGGGCTGCAGAATGCTACACCAGGGGCAACAACCCCGTCCTACTTTGCCTCCCCGTCGCCGCGTAGCGAGGCAGACCCCTTCTGCCGCCCCAGGGAGCCCTAAGGAGAGGAGAAAGGCCCCGGCCCATGGTCCCGATCTGATGGGACAAAAGGGCAAGGGCAAGGTCACCTCTGAGGCCACGTGGCCCAAGGAGGCTATCCTGAATGGGCCTAAGGCCAAAGCTAAGGCGTATTCCCGCATCAGTCCCTCCAGACCGCCTTTTTGGCCACTCACTCGTGCTTCTTTGTGCTTGACAAAGAGACGGAGGAGGAGATTCACACTTCCTCTGATCACTTAGGAGCTTCGACCAACTCCCCCTTTATTGACGATGATATTTTAGCCGACGAGATAGAGCCTTCCTCTAGCCTATTGTATATTGAGGCTCCCCCTTCCCCTTCAGTTCCTATTCAGACCTTAGAGCCCTCCCCCACCCTATTGCTTTGGATGAGCATGAGCCTCTCCTACTCCCACCAGCTCGACCCCTTCTGACCCTACCTTCCCCAACATCTCCCATTATCGAGTCTGGGCTGCCTTCCCCACAGGACCAGGCACAGAGCTCAGATGGCCTGGAGCCTCTACAGCTCGTCCTCCAACCTCCAGAGATGCCCCTTATGCGAGAGGGCCCTACCCAAGAGGGCCCAGTTCACCGGAGACCTCAGACCAGATCTAGTATGGCGCAGCTCTTGGCTAGCCGAGTACTGTCTCTACCAGACATACAGACACGGCCTGACCACAGACAACACCAGTTCGGTGGATCCACTGACTTTTGACATGTAAGTTACATTGCTAACATGGAATGCCCGTGGTCTGGCTAATAGGACCACCCTTGCTCACGTCAAATCTCTTATTCGTGAGCATAACCTTGACTTTGCGGCTTTCTTAGAGCCTATGACTCGTGACCCCTCTTTTGATGTATACTCACGCCACCTTGGCTTCTATGCTGGGGTGGGCGACACCTCTAACAATATTTGTCTTTTCCATTCGCGTGACTTTACCTGTCAGATCCTTCGAGATACTGATCAGGTCTTTCA